TAGTTTTTCCTTTAGTGTAATAATACCTCCCTTTGCTCTGTGACTTGCAATGTCGGCTGACTTCAGAGCCTGTGTGAAGTTCCCAGGTGCAGGCAGGCTAGTGCACATAGGGGACTATGTCTGCTGCTGTAGAGTCCCAAGATGGGGGCAACCCGGGGAGCTCCACATTGTTAGATCAGGGTCCACACAGGGGTGGCAGCTGGAGTTCCTACCCTGCTGGGTGTCCTCTGTGGGGGCTTTGTCCATGATTTCTGCTTGAATGGGTGGCCAAAAGTTCTTTGCGGGTTCTCCTGTCGGCCACTGGTCTTACTCAGGTATCCAGTAGTCCTGCGTGGGTGAGTAGCTGGGAGACCTACTCAGATGCTGAGGCCTGGAGCCCTTGATGGGCAGGGTGCTTCCTGGGAGGGCGGGGAGTGGGAATATCATTGGCAGAGAAGCTGTATTCTCACTACTTGAATCCCACGTCATGGAGCTATGCAGAATGCTGCCTCCCTCTGCCCCGCCATCTTGGATCTCCTCAAGAATGACAATTTTTAATGTCTTTTGAATATGAGGTTCTGGCTTATTACAGAAAGAAGAATTATCTTCTCAAAGAGCTGAGTACACAGTTACTTATTTCGTTTGGAATTTCCAAGTCTTGGAATACTGTTCAACCCTCAAGCTTTATTTTTTTTTTTTTTTAAAGAGTGAATGCCATTGGGGCTGGGGTTATGGCTCAGTGGTAGAGTGCTTGCCTAGCATGTGTGAGGCACTGGGTTCCATCCCCAGCACCACATAAAAATAAATAAACAAAATAATGATATTAAAAAAAATGACACCATGTTTAAAAAAAGAGAGTGAATGCCATTGTATATTACTTTTTTTCCCTGGTTAATGCACAATTTTAGAACTCAAAAAAATTATATTAAGTTAGAACATTCAGAAGAAAGTACAAAAATAAGTTTATTAGATCTTAATATAGTTTCACAGAGTGAAGATTAAAGTGCTACAATTTTTAAAATTTAATTTTTTGTGATTACTATGACATATTAATTGTACAAATTAATGGGATTCACTATCATGTTTTCAGAGATCTTTTATTGATCAGGTCCATCCATCCTCCTTCTAACTGTCCCTTTCTCCACCCCAACATGTACTCCTCTCAGTCCTTAGTAATCCATCTTCTTTCAGGTAATTTTTTTTTTCCTAATTTCCACATATGAGAGAGAACATGTGGTATTTGTCTTTCTGTGTCCGGCTTATTTAGTGGCTTATTTAGCTATATCCCCAGTCCTCCCATTCAATCCATTTATTTGCAAATGATAGGATTTCATTTTTCTTTATGGTTAAATAATATTCCTTTGTGTGTATATGTATATACATATATATATATATATATATATATATTTGTATATACACACAAAGGAATATATGTATATATGTGTGTGTATATATATATATATATATATACACACACACACACACTGTGTTTTCTTCATCTATTCATCTGTTAAACAGGCATCTAGGCTGGTTCCATATGTTGACTGTTGTGAATAGTACTGCTAAAAACATGGGCATGCAGGAATTTCTTTTGAATGCTGACTTCATTTCTTTTGGATATATACCCAAGAATGGGATAGCTAGGGCATATGGTAATTTTCATTTTAGTTTTTTGAGGAAACTGTGTCCTGTTTTCTATAGTAGTTGTCCTAATTTCCATTTCTTCCAGTCCGTATATTAGCATTCCATTTTCTCCACATCCTTGCCAGCATTTAAAAAATTTTTGGTAATAGCCATTTTTGGTAATAGCCATTTTAAATGGCTAAGATGAAATTCCTTCCTTCCTTCCTTCTTTCCTTCCTTCCTTCCTTCCTTCCTTTCGTACTGGGGATGGAACCCAAGGCTTTGTGCATGCAAGGCAAGTACTCTACCAACTGAGCTATCTCCCCAGCCCTGATGGTATTGTAGTTTTGATTTCCACTTCCCTGATGAGTAATATAATTGAGAAATTTTTTTGATTTTTATTATTAGTTGTTCAAAACATTACATAGTTCTTGACATATCATATTTCATACATTTGATTCAAGTGGGTTATGAACTCCTATTTTTACCCCGTATACAGATTGCAGAATCACATCGGTTACACATCCACTTTTTTACATACTGCCATACTAGTGTCTGTTGTGTTCTGTTGCCTTTCCTATCCTCTACTATCCCCCCTCCCCTTCCCTCCCCTCCCATCTTCTCTCTCTACCCCATCTACTGTAATTCATTTCTCCCCCTTGTTTTTTTCCCTTTCCCCTCACTTCCTCTTATATGTAATTTTGTATAACAATGAGGGTCTCCTTCCATTTCCATGCAATTTCCCTTCTCCCTTTCCCTCCCACCTCTCGTCCCTGTTTAATGTTAATCTTCTTCTCATGCTCTTCCTCCCTGCTCTGTTCTTAATTGTTCTCCTTATATCAAAGAAGACATTTGGCATTTGTTTTTTAGGGATTGGCTAGCTTCACTTAGCATAATCTGCTCTAATGCCATCCATTTCCCTGCAAACTCCATGGTTTTGTCATTTTTTAGTGCAGAGTAATACTCCATTGTGTATAAATGCCACATTTTTTTATCCATTCATCTATTGAAGGGCATTTCATATATTTGTTAAACATTTTTCTTTTGAGAAGTGTCTATTCAGATCATTTGCCCATTTTAATTGGATTAATTATTTTTTTGTTAAATTTTTAAAATTCTTTATATATTCTTGATATTAGTCCTCTATCAGAGGAATAATTAGCAAATATTTTCTCTCATTCTGAAGGTTGTCTCTTCACTCCATTAATCATTTACTTTGCTATGCATTAGCTTTTTAGCTTGATGAACTTCTGTTTGTCAAGTTTTGCTGTTGTTCCTATTCTTTGAGAGACCTATCCAGAGAATCATTGCCTAAATATATATATATATATATATATATATATATATATATATATATATATATATATATATATATATATACATACATATAGTACTGGGTTAGAACTAGTGGCGCTTTACCACTGAGCTTTATCTGCTGTTTATGGATACCCAGTTTTCCCAGCATCATTTGTTAAAGAGGCTGTCCTTTCTCTAGTTATGCATTTGGTCCTTTTGTTGAGGATCAGTTGGCTCTGGATGCATAGGTTCTCAAGTTTGTTCCAATGTTTTTTTTTTTTTTTTTTTTTTAATGTCAATACCATATTGTTTTTATTACTGTGGTTCTGTAGTTTGTCTGGAAATCAGGTATTATTATGCCTCTAGCTTTGTTCTTTTTGTTTAAGGAAGCTTTGTTTATTTAGGTTTTTCTGTGCTTCATATGAATTTTAGGATTGTTTATTCTAGTTTTATGAAAAATGTGATTGATATTTAGATGGAGGTTGCACTGAATCTGTAGATCTCTTTGGGTCATAGGTAATTTTGGTTGTGGGCTTGTTGTACATAGCCTTTATTATGTTGAGGTATGATCCTTCTGTATCCAATTTGTTTAGAGCTTTTGCCATGAGTGGGTATTGAATTTTATCAAATATACTTTCTGTGTTTGAGATGATTTTGAAATGAATATGTGATTTTTCTTATCCTTCATTCTATTTTTGTGATATATTATTTTATTGATTTGCATATGTTGAAAACCATCCTTATATTCCTGGAATAAAAACAACTTTATTGTGATTTTATGGTCTTTTTGATAGGCTATTGAGTTTGATTTGCAAGTATTTTATTGAGGATTTTTACATCTATATTCATTAAGGGATATTGGTCTTTAAGTTTTCTTTTTTTGGTGTGTTCTCATCAGGTTTTGTTAACAGAGTAATGTCAAGACTTCTTTACAAAGCTTATCTTGAGCTTTTCATGAGATTTTTAAAATTAATTTATTTATTCTAATTTGTTATATATGACAGCAGAATGCATTTCAATTCATATTACACATACAGAGCACAATTTTTCATTTCTCTGGTTGTACACAAAGTAGAGTCACACCATTCGTGTCTTCATACATGTACTTAGGATAATGATGTCCATTTCATTCCACCATTTTTCATGAGATTGAAGATAGTATTTTATTGGAATGACTGTAGGCATACAAATTCAAGTTTTTGTAAGTACTCACGCCTGACTAAAATTACGTGTGCAGCGTATTTTCTAGAGAGAGGCTGGAAATGGTTTGATCAGAATGCCAGTACCCAGTAGATAAATAACTTTCTTCTCTGAGCCTTGAGTTCTTTGCCTGAAAATTTTTTTTCCTTTCTCTTTACTTTTCTTTTTGTTCACAATAATAGTAGGTATATTAATCATTCAGTAACTGCTTAAATGAAATTAGTTATCTGTCCCATCTTATTTATTTAAAGGGAACTCAACCTACTTTTAGGAATTCTATAAAATCATATCTATTTTAGCTCTTGTTGATCTGACTTAAAACTCTCTTTTGAAATCAGTTTCATTAGTTAAAATATACATTTCAGGTATTTAAATTAATAGGGCTGAAAACAATGTTGTCACTTTAATTCCCATTATATATAAATGCATATACTGTTGCTGCTACTAAGCATAAGCATGGCTTTTATTTGAGTGCTTACTATCAAACTTTTTTCTAACCTTTACTTCAAATGATGTCTTACACTGCAGGATTTAAAAGATGAAATGCTTTGGTTTTAAATTATTTGGTGAAAGTAGAGGTCCAGAGTTAGGGCCCTTCCTTCTTGGTCCTCTCTTAGGCTGCTTCCATGATTCTAAGCCCTTTCTGAGGTAGAAAGGAAGACACTGAGGCTGGAATGGTTAAAGAAAATGATTAACAGCACAGAGTAGTTAGACAGCCCAGTCTTTACTACCTCCTTCCATAGTATTTCTGTTACTACTGCAGTGATAGTTGCTGTAATAAGGAATATATTCTCATTGTTTCATAAATGTAATAAAATTGTTTACAAGTCCAGTAAGAAATCTCAATATACTTTATCATCATACTAAATGATATTTGAAATTAATAATTTTATTTTTTCTAGACTCATTTTATTAGTGCTGCACTAAAGACTAATAGTTTTCAGCCTGGTAGCGTGCTTCCTTCCAGAGCAGTGGAAAAGTATTCTGTAAAACCAGAACATCCTCATCTTGGTAGCAGCAATCTGTCTTCACATCATATATATACTTCCAAACAAGGTAAAAATATTTAATTTCTTATGGACTAAAAATGTAAGGATTTTCTTTGTGCTATATGAACTGAAAACTTATTTACTAAGTGGTGAGATTCTTACAAAATTTCTGAGTCTTTGTTTTATAAAATTCTTTTTATAGATTAAGTAAATTTTAAATTATTTTTCAACTTGTTCAAATTATGAATCATGTCCTAATTTATGGTTTTAAGTAATAGCCTTTATAAGTTATCAGAAACCCTTAGACATTTAGAAAAATTTACTTATCTAATAAAATTCTCCAATTTCTCCGACAAACTGCATATTTACTGTTTTTCTTGATTGTGTCAGGAAAAAAACAACTGAGTAAAATTATAAGCTATTGAATCCCCTCTTATTTGTAGTTTTGCTTGTTGAGGTTTAAAATTGTCCATGGTCATCTGTGGCCTAAAAATATTAAATGGAAAATTCTAGAAATAAACCAATTACAAATTTTAAATTGCATGCTGTTTTGAGTAGCATGATGAAATCTCATACTGTCTGGCTTAGTAGTTTTGCCAGGACATGTGAATGATCCCTTTGTTCAGTGTATCCACACTGTACTGTTTGTGTGTACAGGTAAAAGATAATACATATAAGGTTTGGCATTATCTTTAGTTTCAGGCATTCATTAGGGTCTTGGAACATATCTCCCCAAGAGTAGGGGAGACTACTATATTTCTAAATATTTTCAGTTTGACTAATACAAATCTGTTCATAGAATTAAAAAATTATAATAACAAAGAAATACACAGCTTATTTCTTAAACCTTTGGAATTTAAAATAAATGAACAGATATTTTTCCAAATTATTGATGTTTTAATAACATTAATGAAAATCAAAGGACTCTTCATTTAATGATGTACAGGTCTGTGTATTTCTAATATTTTATTTGTTACAACATTGTTGTATCACAGTCATTAAACACTTCTTTTACTTATAAGGTACGTTTATTTTGCAAATGAGCAGTTCTTACAACACTGTTGTGAAGTAGTCTGAGTCAATTTTTAAGTTGTAAAAAGGAATATGAAATACAGAAAGGTTATGACTGGACTGTTCAAGGTTACTACATTGAGAGTTAGGGCATGAGAGCAAGGGTCAAGAGCTCTGATTTCAGTGTGACCGAGCCTTGATCCTTCTACATAAGTGGATACTTTTCCCCCTAGTATATTTACTCAATTCCACAGAATAATTTTGTTTTTGTAGACTTAAGCTGTAAAGAAAAAAAAATGACTATTTTATCGATTGCATACTTAATTTATTTCAGTGTTTATATTAGTTATGATAACAGAAATAAAAGAAAAACTTAGTTTAATTCAACACATTCAACAATTAGCCCTGTGAGGTGACACACACCTATAATCCCAGTGGCTAGGGAGGCTGAGGCAGGAGGTTGAAAGTTCAAAGTCAGCCTCAGCAAGAGTGAGGTGCTAGGCAACTCAGTGAGACCCTGTCTCTAAATAAAATACAGAACAGGGCTGGGGATGTGGCTTAGTGGTTGAGTGCCCCTGAGTTCAATCCCTTGTACCCCTCTCCCCCCAAATTCAACAAATTAAACTTTTTATTTTTCTGTGTTTTTTAATGAGTATGTGTCACTTTTAGGTAGTTTTTTTGAGAGAGAGAGAGAGAGAGAGAGAGAGAGAGAGAGAGAGAGAATGAATTATATTTATTTTTTAGTTTTCGGCGGACACAACATCTTTGTATGTGGTGCTGAGGATTGAACCCGGGCCGCACGCATGCCAGGCGAGCGCGCTACCGCTTGAGCCACATCCCTAGCCCTACTTTTAGATAGTTTTAATTGTAGCACAAATACAGTTTTGTATTTTTTCTTTTTTTTTTTTTTCCAAAATAGGATGGGTAATGTGCTGACATTATAACAAGTTTATAGAGAGGCACATCTGATACAACAGTGTGAATACACAGTCATCACACCTATGACCTGAAAAGGATCTGTATTTCTTTTTTATTAGCATATTGAAAGCATTTCTTATGTTTTATATAATTATTTTCACCAGTTTAATTTTTTCTTTTTTCAGTGTTGGGGATTGAACCCAGTACTTCATGCACACTAGTCAAGCATTCTACCATTGAGCCACACCCACACCCTATAATTTTAAAATTTAATAACTAAAAGTCTATTGACATGACTGTTACCTTGAGGTTGAACAGTTAGGTAGGTTTTAGGGTTTTTTTTTTCTTGATAAATAATACAGTAATGAATATCATCACATATTTAACACTTTTTAAAGTTTTTTTCCTTATGATAAATTCCCAAGGGTAAGGTTATTTAGGTGGTATATTGCTACATGTTTATCAATTTTCATTACCATGAAAAATGTCTAGATATACCATTTTCACCACAACTTTAATAGTACTGAATGTTGCCAGGCACGCCAGCCTGAGCAATGGCGAGGCACTTAGCAACTCAGTGAGCCCCTGTCTCTAAATAAAATACCAGATAGGGCTAGGGATGTGGCTCAGTGGTTGAGTGCCCCTGAGTTCAATCCCCAGTATCACACACACACAAAAAAATGTTATTATATTGATTTGTGTTTATAGCTTTATTGAAAAATATTTAATCTATTTCTTTTGACTTCTAGTTAAGAATGAAGTTATTTTTCTACTTATTTGTTAATAATTTATGTATTTATCAATCCTGTGTACTTTTGGTTTTATTTTTAATGTACAGGAAAGAATAATACTCTCTAATTTTTAAATTTTAACAAGCAAGTTAAATTTCTTATTTATGGGCTGGGGATGTGGCTCAAGCGGTAGTGCACTTGCCTGGCATGCGTGCGGCCCGGGTTCGATCCTCAGCACCACATAAAAACAAAGATGTTATGTCCGCTGAAAACTAAAAAAATAAATATTAAAAATTCTCTCTCTCTCTCTCTTTAAAAAAATTTCTTATTTATTTTCTATTAAAACTCCTTTAATAGAGTTTGAAGATATGGATTTTAATGAACAAAAATCTCCTTTGGAGACACCAGCACCTCGCAGGTTTGCTCCTGTACCTGTTTCAAGAGATGATGAAATGTCAAAGAAGGAAAATCCCATAGAAGAAAAAGAAAACATGGAAATGTTAGGTCAGAGAGGTAAGAAACAATTATAGATATACCTGCCTTGACTAGACCTATTTCAGATTAGGAAATTGTCCTGAAATTTTGTCACTCATGATTTGGAATTTTCTGTGTGCCCTGTAACTAGACTGATATCTCTATTTTCACTACTTTTCTGTAGATGATATTTATGGGACAAATCAGTCTTCTTTAGATTATCTGTAGGAGTTGAAGGTATACATTTATAGTTATTTTTACTATCTCCTACAGGTTATTACTTAAGCTTTTATTAATATAAAAAATAATGCCTTGTTGAGGTAAGACTGATCATTTTTAGAATGTGTTTCCTTATATTGTTTTTAGGTATGAATTTCAATAATAAAACTCAGGGAAGTTAACATTTATCACCATGTTTTGCTGGAAAAAGTGCTAATATATGAACTATTTTACTAGAAAACAAGAACTTTTATAAGTGACCTGAAATAATAGTGTGCTACAGAGCCTTAAAATGTAGCTCTTCTAGTAAAAGTAAGTGAAAATATTAAGCTGTAGGCTTTTATTCTTAGATTTCTTTAAATGCATTCAAGTCTTACCTTAGGCAAATTTCAAGAATTTAGAAGATAATAAATATTTATTAAAGAAACCAATTTTACGAAAAATAATTTGTTATGTAGTCTCACTGAAAACAAGGCTAATGGGAAGATCCAAGTAATTGTGAGGAAACAAACCTCCTTTTTACTGATTTACAAAATAGTTCAATTTCTGGAGTTTTGTGATAATGATAGTTCCCTCTGTGACAGAGACAAATTTAGTCTTTTTGCCTAATATAATTCATATTTTTACCAGAGTGGTTTATATGAGGTATAAATATTTAGTGTTACTTGGTGAGTGTATTTACAGTCTACTCTTTTGTCTTAATCTGTTTTCTGTTGCTATAATGAATTCCTATAGGTTGAGTAATTTGTAAAGAAAAGAGGTTTATTTAGCTCCTGATTCTGAAAGTCCAAGAGCATGGTGACTTATATGGGCTTGGCCTCTGGTGAGAGCCTGCTGGTTCTTGACATGGTGGAGGGCATCACATGGCACAAAAGGAAGCTAGTCAGAGAGAGCTTGGTTTTATAATGAACCCACTCCCTTGAAAAACCTGGTAATCCATTAATACATGAATGGATTAACTCATTCATGAGGACAGAACCCTCCTGACCCAATCACCTCCCAAAGTTCCTGGCTCTCAAATACCAATAACATATAACTTTAAGGATTAAGTTTGTAATGCCTGAAATTCAGGGGACACATTAAAACCATTGCAACTGTGGAGTGAATTAAGTAGATAGTCATAGAAGCAGATTTAGGCCAGAGTACAGACATAGTGAGATGTTATGTAAAGGAGAAATTAATTAATATTTGGAAAATGATACTATATTTTTTCTATTACAGGAAATGTAAAACTGTTGGAACAGATTTTGAATAATAATGATTCTTTGATAAAAAAAAGTGAATTGTTAGACATAACCTCACTAACTAGGCCAACAGTGGAATGGAAACTTGAGGAAAAAAACAGGTAAAAATAAGAAATTGGAATGCAAACTAAACTAGAAAGAGTTTTCTTCATATTTCTAAAGTTTATTTAAGAATATTAATAAATTATTGTTTTTAAAAATTATCTTAAATTTGGATACTATTTTCTGATTCTAATGTATCTTTCTCTTTTTCTATAACATAGTAGGACAGGGAATGGGTTGTGAGTATAGAAGAAATGAGGACAGCTATGAGAATGATGTGTTTGATGTTGTTATAGAAGGGACATATAAAGTGTCATTGTACTATTTTTACTTATGTGTATGTTTGAAATTTTATGTAAGAAAGATTTTTTTAAAAATCAAGTAAATCTTGGCCATAATTATATTTCCCTTCTATATCATGAAAACTACAGTAATAAAAATTTAAAAGAGCCACAACTGGAGTATTTTTACGTAAATATATTGTACAATTTTAATTTATTTACATTTAATGCACTTATTGATAAGATATTTATGCCTGCCATATTGCTAGGTATTTCCAACATGTTTCAGATCTTTTATTCCACCACTCTTCCATTAGTGCTTTCTTTTAATTAAATAGATATTTTCTAGTGTACTATTTTAATTCCTTTGTTTCCTTTACTACATTTTTTGTAGTAATGTAGTTATTTATTGGTTATATAGGAATTAAAATTGACATATTAGTTCAAAACAAACTAGTTCAGATTAATATCAATTTAATTTCAGTAGTATTAAAATTTTTCTCCAATGTCTGTCTTCCCTCCCCCTTTTTTCCACTATTGTCAAATTATATTTTGATCAATTATAAGCCCTTCTATACAGCTTGATAACTTAAAATTTATACAGCTGTTTTTTGATTCAGAAGAGCATAATAAAAATAGATGTTATATTTTTGTACATATATAATTGACCTTTATTTGTACCCTTTGTTTCTTCTTATTGATTCATGCTAGAATCTAATGTCTTTTCATTCTAAAGGACTTTCTTCAGTATTTCTTGTAGGTTGGGTCTTTTTTAAAAAAATATATTTTTATTTGTAGATGGACACAACACCTTTATTTTTATGTGGTGCTCATCTCACATGTGTGCCTTCCACATGCGAGATGAGTACTCTACCACTGAGCCAAAATCCCAGCCCCGTAGGTTGGGTCTTCTAGCACTGAATTCTCTGTTTTTGTTTATATGGGATTGTTTTTAGTTTCTCCTTCAATTATTCTTGTTTGTTTGTTTGAACATAAATTTATTTTCTCACATTTGTGGAGGCTAAAATCTAAAATCAAGTTGCCAACAGGGCTGATTTCTTCCGAGACTTCTCTCCTTAGTTTGTAGATGGACTCCCTCTTTTGTTTCTTCTCGTGGTCAACCCTCTGTGTACACATGCATGCCTCTGTTATCTTCTCTTTCACTTTTGAAGGATAGTTTTGCTAGATATAGAATTTTTGGTTGGCATTTTTTTTTTCCTTTCAACACTTCAAAGTATCATCTTACTTCCTCTGGACTCTTACATAAAGACTGATTAAAAGCCAGGTGTTAATCTTTTTGAGGATCTTTTGTAATATGATGAGTCACTTTTCTTTTGATGCTATTCAGATTTTCTGTTTGCTTGGGATTTTGGACAGTTTCCCCATGATGTATTCAAGTATGGATATCTTTGAGTTTATCCTATTTGAAGTTTGTTGAGCTTTTTAGATGAGTAGATTAATTTTCATTATACTTGGAACATTTTGGCCATCATTTGTTTCTTTTCTTTTTTTCCTTTTTTCTTTCTGTTTTGATGATAATAATTTAGATGCTATTTTCTGATTCTATTATTGTTTTGCTAGCAAAGGAGAAACACAGGGACTCCTGTCCCAGAGTTGGTGATTTTTGGACCATCATTTCATTGTATATTAAATAGTATCAATGATATGTGTGATGATATGCTTGATGGTATTCCATAGGTCTCTGAGGCTCTGTTAATTTGAAATTTTCAATTACAGAATTTATATTTGTGTTTTTTTTCTTTTTGGCAAGACTTCATTCTTAAATTTAACTTTAATTTTTTGAATAGGTTTCTTTAGTAATAGCTGATTTATGATCTTTACCTAGTTAGTATAATATCTGGGATTTCATAAGGACAGTTCTACTGACTGTCTTTTTTCCTGTGTTTGTGCTTTTTTTAAAAAAAATTTCTGTGTGTTTATCAAAATTTTTGTTGAAAACTAGACATTTTAAATAATACAGTAAGGCAACACTAGAAGTCAGTGTTGTTTGCTGTACTGGGAATTGTTGTTCATACAGCTGGTTATTTAGTTACTTTCCTGGACTAATTCTGTAAAGTCTGAATTCTTTGTCATATGTACTCACTGAAGTCTCTGTTTTGTGAACTTAGTCTGCCAATGATTGGAAACAAATTTATTTATCTTGATAGTTCAAGGTAAGTAAATTTGTAAATAAGTAAATAAGTCTCTTTATTTTCATGAATGTACGTGTGCATTTATTTTTTATGAATCTGTCTTAGCCTTTACTTCCTACTCGCAGACAGCCTCAAAAGCAGTCAGATGTGAGAGAGCTGGACCTTCTTAGGTTTTTGGGGGTGTGTATATAGCCCCATATCTGTGTACTATCTTCAATATCCCCAGGAATATGGTGGAGCTTACTCAAACTCCACTATGGATGTCTCATTCCTCATTGAAGTTTTTTGAAGTTCATTGTCCACAGTCTTGTTTGCCTCAACTTATATCAGTATCTCAGGCAGCTGAGATTTTAACAATTTCTACTTTTAAAAAAATGCTCTAAGGATAGAGTTTCTTACTGAGCTCCTGAGTTAGGTCAAATAAAGCCAAACACAATGAAGGATATTTTTAGAGGACCTCCAAACCTGTTATAACCTTTTAAGTTGTTGTAAGGCCATAGTTTTCAAGGCTACCACAGAGTTGAGGAAAAGGTCCTGATAATGAATTAAGTTAAAGTTATACCATAAACTTTACTGATCTTTACTAAGAATCAGCCATTTATTTCTTGCATAAATGATCCTCGGGTTGTTGTAGCCTTTCTTTAATTTTCGAAGTTCTGAAATAAAATTGACTTTTTAAAAAAAATATTTTTCTGTTGTTGATGAACCTTTATTTTTATTTATGTATGGTACTGAGAATTGAACCCAGTGCTTCACACATGTGAGGCAAGTGCTCTACCACTGAGCTACAACCCCAGCCCCTAAAATTGATTTTGATGTCAGTGTTCTCGTTGCTTTTATGGAAGAGTGACTTTTCAGAGTTCTTTCTCCACCTGTCTGGAAATACTTCTGAATGTTAGTTTCTTGAGAGTAAAACCCTTTTCTGCTCTTTTCCTATGATACCTAAATATTTCTGGTAAGATTAATTTTGTCTCTTATGATTTCTTGTGTTTCATATATTTATCACATAACTGGTTAATTACATGATACAATTTTGGTAGAACATCATTTATTAAAGTATACCTAAGAATGTACCAAAAGTTCATGTAATCAGTTGTTTATTGAATTTATGAGAACTTGGGAAACTTTTCTTCTAGCATTGGAACTCTTCCTTCTCAAAGATTTCCATCCTGTGAAGATCTAGGCACATCTAAAATGACTATGCACAAGTCTAATGATGTTCTTCATGATCGTGGCCAAAAGAAGAAAGAAACAAATGACATGCTCCAGGTAAAGTGGGAATAGTGTTAAAATTGATGATTAGCAAGGTAAAAATTGTGAAGGAATAAAAAGGTTATGAAGACAAATCAGGAGGAAGGATGAAGATAAAGGTCTGAAAAAAACAAAAACATGGCAGCCAAGTCTATTCCCTTTAAACTTGTTTTCAGAGGCCTTCACCAAATGATTTTTACTTACTACTCTTTGTCCAGACAGAGCCACATGGTTATCTGTGGCTTTCCAACTTCTGTTGGAGAGGGAGAAAAGGAGAAAGAGAGCTGTGAATGGCTCTTGTTTTTCTAGTCCACAGTGTCTTGGCAAGTGTCAGCCAACTTGCTCTTATTTTGTTTAGCTGTCTTCAGCAATAGAACTGTCATTGGCCACTGGACTGCCTAGCATTGCTATGGATATCCCATCTCTGTTTGACACTAACATTTGTATTCCTAAATGGGAAAAAATTAGTGCCATATATTCTCTTGTACCTCTTCAGTTTGACAGATTGAGTCTGAAGAACATGTTGGCATGGTTTATGGCCCCAACAGTAGTAATAGATCTTATTTGGATTAAAGTAATCAATGTAAGTTTAACATGGTAATTTTTTTCCCTTTTTTCTTTTAAGCAGAAAGACTTGCCAATTATGATGAGGCTTGCTGATCTTCCACAGAATTCTGTTAAGCTTCAAACAGCCAATACAACAAGATCTGTATTGAAAGATGCTGAGAAGATTTTGAGAGGAGTACAAAACAATAAAAAAGTACTTGAAGAAAACCTAGAAGCCATTATTCGTGCAAAAGATGGAGCTGCTATGTACTCATTTATCAATGCTTTATCCACAAATAGGTGAGGCAGGATATTTGCATCCCAAAGATATTTGTGAAGCTTCCAGTTCTGCTCCATAAGTTTTTTCTAAGCATATCACTTTGTTTAATGTGTTTTGATATTTAGAAGTAGTTCTTTAATGCCTTTGAAGATATAGAACTTATTATAATGTTGGAATTTGGATATATACATGATAGGAATACTTTTTAAAAAATTTATTTGTTTAATTTTTTAACATGACAGCAGAATGCATTTAAATTCTTAGTACACAGAGCACAATTTTTCATGTCTCTGGTTGTACACAAAGTAGAGTCATATCATTCATGTCTTCATACATGTAGTTAGGGTAATGATGTCCATCTCAATCCACAACCTTTCCCACCCCATGCTCCCTCCCTCCCTTCACCTTTGCCCTATCTAAAGTTCCTCCATTCCTCCCATGCTCCCCAGACCCCCAGTATGAATCAGCATCAGCATATCAGAGAATACATTCGGCCTTTGGCTTAGCATAATATTCTCCAACTCCATCCATTTACCTGCAAATGCCATGATTTTATCTCTTTTATTGCTGAGTAATATTCCATTGTGTATATATATCACAGTTTCTTTATCCATTCATTTATTGAAGGGCATCTAGGTTGGTTCCACAGTTTAGCTATTGTGAATTGTGCTACTATAAACACTGATGTAGCTGTGTCACTGTAGTAGGCTGTTTTTAAGTCTTTTGGGTATAAACCGAGGAGTGGGACAGCTGGGTCAAATGGTGGTTCCATTTCAAGTTTTCCAAGGAATCTCCATACTGCTTTCCATATTGGTTGTACCAATATGCAGTTCCACCAGCAATGTATGAGTGTGCCTTTTTCCCAACAGCCTCCCCAGCTCTTATTGTATATGACAGCAGAATGCATTACAGTTCCTATTACACATATAGAGCACAATTTTTCATATCTCTGATTGTATACAAAGTATATTTACACCATTTGTGTCTTCATACATGGGGTAATGATGTCCATCTCATTCCACTGTCTTTCCTACCCTCTCCCTTTCCTGTCTGCTCCCTTCCCCTCCCATCCCTTTGCCCTATCTAGAGTTTGTCTAATCCTCGCTTGCTCCCCCTCCCAACCCTACTATGAATCAGCCTCCTTGTATGAGAGAAAACATTTGACATTTGTTTTTTTGGGATTGGCTAACTTCACTTAGCATTATACTCTCCAACTCCATCCATTTACCTGTAAATGTCATGATTTTATTCACTTGTATTGCTGAGTAATATTCTGTTGTATATATATATATACCACAGTTTCTTTACCCTTTCAGCTACTGATGGGCATCTAGGTTGGTTCCACAGTTTAGCTATTGTAACTTGTGCTGTAATAACACTGATGTGGCTGTATCCCTTTAGTATGCTGTTTTTAAATCCTTTGAGTATACACTGAGGAGTAGGACAGCTGGGTCAAAAGGTAGTTCCAAGTTTTCCAAGGAATCTCCATACTGCTTTCCATATTGGCTGTACCATTTTGCAGTCTCACCAGCAACATATGAGAGTACCTTCTTCCCCACATCCTCGCCAACACTTATTGCTGTTTGTATTCTTAATAGCTGCCATTCTGATTGGAGTGAGATGAAAGAGAGTAGTTTTGATTTGCATTTCTCTAATAGCTAGAGATGTTGAACATTTTTTCATATATTTGTTGATTGATTTTATATCACCTTCTGAGAAGTGTATGTTCAGTTCCTTGGCCTATTTATTGATTGGGTTATTTGTTTTTTTGGTATTAAATTTTTTGTGTTCTCTATAATATCCCAGAGATTAGTGCTCTATCTGATGTGCATATGGTAAAAATTTGCTCCCAAGCTGTAGGCTCTCTCTTCACCTCCCTGATTGTTTCTTTTGCTGAGAAGAAGCTTTTCAGTTTGAATCCATCCCACTTGTTGATTCTTGATTTTTATTTCTGATGCTATAGGAGTCTTGTTAAGGAAGTCGGGGCCTAATCTGACATGATAAAGATTTGGGCCTCCTTTGTCTTCTATTAGGCGCAGGATCTCCGAACTAATTTCTAGGTCCTTGATCCACTTTGAGTTGAATTTTATGCATGGTGAGAGATAGAGGTTTAATTTCATTTTGTTGCATATGTATTTCCAGTTTTCCCAACACCATTTGTTGAAGAGGCTATCTTTTCTCCAATGTATGTTTTTGGTGCCTTTGTCTAGTATGAGATAACTGTATTTATGTGGGTTTGTCTCTGGGTTCTCTATTCTCTACCATTGGTCCACCAGTTTATTTTGGTGCCAATACCATGCTGTTTTTGTTATTATTGCTGTGTAGTGTAGTTTAAGGTCTGGTATAGTGAGTGATGCCACTTGCTTCACTTTTCCTGCTAAGGATTGCTTTGGCTATTCTGGATCTCGTATTTTTCCAGATGAATTTCATGATTGTTTTTTCTATTTTTATGAGGAATATCATTGGGATTTTGATTAGAATTGCATTAAATCTGAATAGTGCTTTTAGTAGTGTGGTCATTGTGACAAGATTAATTCTGCGTATCCGGGAACAAGGAAGATCTTCCCATCTTCTCAAGTTTTCTTCAATTTCTTTCTTTAGCGTTCTGTAGTTTTCATTGTAGAGGTCTTTCACCTCTTTTTGTTAGGTTTATTCCCAAGTATTTTTTGTTGAGGCTACTGTAAATGGGGTAGTTTTCCTAGTTTCTCTTTCAGAGGATTTGTCACGGATATACAGAAATGCCTTTGATTTATGCGTATTGATTTTATATCCTGCTACTTTGCTGAATTCATTTATTAGTTCTTGAAGTTTTCTGGTGGAACTTTTTGGGTCTTCTAGGTATAGAATCATATTGTCAGCAAGTAGTGCTAATTTGAGTTCTTCTTTTCCTATGTGTATCCCTTTAATTTATTTTGTCTGTCTAATTGCTCTGGCCAGTGTTTCACGAAGTAAAAATAGAAGTGGTGAAAGAGGGCATCCCTGTCTTGTTCCAGTTTTTAGAGGAAATGATATAAATTTTTTTTCCATTTAGAATGATGTTGGCCTGGGGCTTAGCATAGATAGCTTTTATAATGTTGAGATATGTCCCAGTTATTCCTAGTTTTTCAAACATGAAGGGGTGCTGTATTTTGTTGAATGCTTTTTCTGCATCCATTGAGATGATCATATGATTCTTATCTTTAAGTCTATTGATGTGATGAATTACATTGATTGATTTCCATATGTTGAACCAACCTTGCATCCCTGGGATGAACCCCACTTGATTGTGGTGCACTATGTTTTTGTATTTGATTTGCCGGAATTTTATTGAGAATTTTTGCATCTATGTTCATGAGAGATATTGGTCTGAAGTTTTTTTCCTTTAATGTGTGTTTGCCTGGTTTTGGAATCAGGGTGACGTTGGCCTCATAGAATGAGTTTGGAAGTACTCCCTCTTTTTCTGCTTCCTGAAATAAATTGAAGAGTATTGGTATTAGTTCTTCTTTAAAGATGTTGTAGAACTTGGCTGTGTATCTATTTGGTCCTGGGCTTTTTTTGGTTAGTAGGCTTCTGATGGGATCTTCTATTTCATTACTTGAAATTGATCTGTTTAAATTGTGTGTGTATATCATCCTGATTCAATTTGGGCAAATCATGAGACTCTAGAAATTTGTCAGTGCCTTCGATATTTTCTATTTTATTGGAGTACAAGTTTTCAAAATAATTTCTAGGTATCTTCTGTATTTCTGTAGTGTCTGTTGTGATATTTCCTTTTTCATCATCACATATGTTAGTAATTTGAGTTTTCTCTCTCCTCTTCGTTACATGACTAAGGGTCTGTCAATTTTATTTATTTTTTCAAAGAATCAACTTTTTGTTCTGTCAGTTTTTTTCAATTGTTTCTTTTGTTTCAATTTTATTGATTTGATTTTAAGTATTTCCTGTCTTCTACTGCTTTTGGTATTGATTTGTTCTTTTTATAGCGCTCTGAGATGTAATGTTAGATCATTTATTTGTTGACTTTTTCTTCTTTTAAGGAATGAACTCCATGCAATGAACTTTCCTCTTAGTACTAAATACCTTCAAAGTGTCCCAGAGATTTTGATGCATTGTTATCTGTGTTCTCATTCACCTCTGAGAATCTCTTAATCTCCTCCTTGATGTCTTTTGTAACCCATTGTTTATTTGGTAGCATATTATTTAGTCTCCAGGTGTTAGAGTAGCTTTTATTTTTTTATCTTATCATTGTTTGCTAATTTCATCCCATTATGATCTGATTGAATGCATGTTAGTATCTCTACTTTTTTGTATTTGTTAAAGAGTTGCTTTGTGGCATAATATATAGTCTATTTTAAAGAAGGATCCATGTGCTGCTGAGAAGAAAGTGTATTCACTTGTTGATGGATGAAATATTCTATATATGTATGTTAAGTCTAAGTTATTGATTGTATTATTGAGTTCTACAGTTTCTTTGTTTAGATTTGTTTGGATGATCTTTCTGTTGGTGAAAGAGTTGTGTTAATGTCACCCAGAATTATAGTGTTGTGGTCTCTTTGACTCTTGAACTTGAGGAGAGTTTCTTTGATGAATGTAGATGCTCCATTCTTTGGGGCATATATATTTATTCTTGTTATGTCTTGTTAGTGTATGGTTCCTTTGAGCAGTATGTAATATCCTTCTTTATCCCTTTTGATTAACTTTTGCTTGAGGTCTACTTTATTTGATATGAAGATGGAAACCCTTGCTTGTTACGGTAGTCCATATGAGTGGTATGTTTTCTCCTAACCTTTCACCTTCAGTCTGTGGATGTCTTTTTCTATGAGATGAGTCTCTTGAAGGCAGTATATTGTTGAGTCTTTTTAAAAATCGAATCTGCCAGTTTATGTGTTTTGATTGATGAGTTTAGGCCATTAACATTCAGGGTTATTATTAAAACATCATTTGTATTCCCGCTTATTTTTTTAAAAATTTTTTATATTTAACTTGAATTGGTTTCTTCTTTGATTGTTTTTCTTTTAGTATAGTACTTCCCTCTGCTGATTTTCATCATTCTTTTTCATTTCCTCCTCATGGAATATTTTGCTGAGTATTTTTCTGTAGTTTAGTCTTTCTAGTTGTAAATTCTTTTAACTTTTGTTCATCTTGGAAAGTTTTAATTTTATCATCAAATCCAGCTAATATCCAGCTTAATTTTGTTAGATATAAGATTTTTGGTTGGCATCCATTTTCTTTCAGAGCTTGGTATATGTTATTTCAGGATCTTCTAGCTTTTAGGGTCTGAATTGAGAAATCTGCAGAGATTCTTATTGGTTTGCCCTTATATGTAATCTGATTCCTTTTTCTAGTGGCTTTTAATATTCTCTCCTTATTCTCTGTTTTCATTATAATGTGCCTTGGTGTAGATCTGTTGTGATTTTGTACATTTGGTGTCTTGTAAGTCTCTTATATTTGACTTTCCAATACATTCTTCATGTTTGGAAATTTTTCTGATATTATTTTATTGAATAGATTGTTAATTCCTCTGGTTTGTAACTCTACGCTTTCCTCTATCCCAATAATCCTTAAATTTGGTATGAATTCTTTTTTTTTTTTTTTTAGTTTTCGGTGGGCACAACATCTTTATTTTATTTTTTTTATGTGGTGCTGAGGATTGAACCCTGCACCCCGTGCATGCCAGGCGAGCGCGCTACCGCTTGAGCCACATCCCCAGCCCCTGGTATGAATTCTTGAATGTTCTGTTCATGATTTCTCATCATCTTCACTGTGTGAACTTTATTTTGACGATTATATATTTTGTCTTCATTCGCTGAGGGTTCTGTCTTCCAAGTGATCTAATCTGTTGGGGTTCTTCCTATTGAGTGTCTTTTTTTAAATATTTTTTTCGTTGTGGATGGACATAACACCTTTATTTTATTTGTTGTATGTGGTACCAGGCATCAAATCCAGCTTCATGAATACTAGGCAAGCGCTGTAGCACTGAATCACAACCCCCGCCCCTCTATTGAGTTTTCAATTTGGTTTATTGTTTTCTTTATTTCAAGGATTTGTTTTTTTCTTTTTTTTCCCCTAGAATCGCTATCTCCTTATTGAAGTATACTTTTGCTTCCTGTATTTTTTTATGTAGCTCTTTATCGAAATGATCTTTTGTTGCCTGTATTTAATCTCTTATATCATCCTTTAATTCATAGAACATTTAAATTATGTACATCCTAAACTCCTTCTCTGTCATTTCTTCTGCTGTGCTGATCATGGATTCTAATAATAGTTTAGAATAATAATTGGTTTTTTTGGGGCACTTTCTTCCCTGGTTTTTTCATGTTCATGTATCTTCCTTTCTACCACTGTGGATCTGAGGTATTACGTTTTTACCCTACAGACTTATCTTGTTTCTGCAGGATTCCAATGCCTCTCCTTGATATTGCTTCTAGGCCCCAGCCGGTGTCCCAAGCTGGGAGTTATCCCAACTAAAGATGGTGACAAAGGCATCTCAAGCTGGAGGTGGTTGCTTTCAGAGATAGGGTTTTAGGTTGGGCTGGGGTGGTGACTTTGGATGACATGTTCAGAGATGCAGCTCTGTAGAGTGCAGTGTTGTAGCTGGCAGCTGTCTCCAGACCCTGTCCGGTATCCCCAGGTGCAGGCTACAGTGTGTAGGGGACTATGGCAGTGGTTGCAGTGTCCCAAGGTAGAAGTGACTTGAGGAGTCCCATGTAGGTAGATGGGGGTCCCCACAGGACTGGCAGCCGGAGGTCCTGCACGTGGCCCCCATGTTTCCTGTGTAGGAGTGGTGGCTGTGATTCCTACGTGGGAGAGCAGCTGGGAGTCCTCTAATAACTAGCAGAGAAACAGTATTGCCACTACTTGAATCCCAGGTCACGGAGTGACACAGAATGCATCCACCCTCTAGCCCGCCATCTTGGATCCAGTAATACTTTTTATTGATGGAAATTTTCCCTCTTATCATTGGAACACATCTTCTTTACTTCTTTTCAAACATTTGTCCTTCAAACATTTAATGAAAACTAAATACCACTAGTTTTTCCTTTTCAGATGAAAGAGATTGAGCTACACAGTAGATTTAGAACTAGTTAAGAATGATATTTGATTTAGGTCCTGTTCTCAGGGCATTAAGTATTAATTTAAGAAAATTCCTTTTTCTCTTTTTTAGAGAGATATCAGAGAAAATTAGGATCAAAAAGATAGTAGATGAGTGGATTAAAACTATTTCGGCAGAAATTCAGGTATGTTTTGGTAAAATTTAAAATTAAGTTGAATTTTCAGAATGTAGCATTAATTCCAGTTTATAATACTTGTTCTCAAAATATTCTTTACATCTGAGTTCACTGAAAATTCTTTATTTCCCTTTATCACTGTATTTACTTAGAAGTGATAATTTTGTTTTTTTATTTTATTTAAAAAAAATTTTTTGTAGTTGTAGATGGACAGAATATCTTTATTTTATTTGTTTATTTTTATATGGTGCTGAAGATTGAACCCAGTGCCTCATGCATGCTAAGAAAGCACTCCCACCACTGAGCTACAGCCCCAGCCAGGGATAGTTTTATTTAACAAATGTTTTATCTTAAAAATTATATTGTGACTCTTATCTGGAAAATTGTTGGTCAGTAAATATGAGTAACTTGATAAAAAAATTTAGCAAAAGCATTTAGAAAAGATTTATATTTGCAAAGATGTTTTCAAGACAGCATATTTAGAAGCATTGGCTCACTATCATAAAAATAGCAAAGTTACTTAAAAGGGACAGTTTTTTTCCAATTTCCAAGATGACTAAGTGTACAGAAGTCACTTCCAGATAGAAAAACAGTACCTTCTCATATCCACAGAGGGCATGGTATATCTTTAGTGTCAGCATTGAAAAGTCTGGAACTTGTTTTTATTGGGGGCCAGTAATAGGAAATTATTTAAGTTTTATATGTTTAGAAAGAGCAGAACAAGACAGAATATTCTGGGGTTTTTTGTTTGTTTTGTTATGTTTTTATCTTGGAGGGCAAGGTGTTTTTTTTTCTGACTGTAAGAAGTACTTACGTGCTTACCTATAGTGGTAAGAAGGTAAAGTGTCAGTCCGTTTTTAGAGCAATAAACATGGAAATACATTTTTAAACTTTCTTATGTTGAAGTGTATATCTCTAATATAGTTATGAAGATTTATATTTACATTATATTTATATGATGCCTGAGAAAAAAAGTCGAAAGATTCAGAATCTAGTTCTGGCTTTGTAGCCAACTGATAATATATATTCCTCTATTGCTATGAATTCTGTGCAAAATATTTATCTTAGTTTTATTATAAATTAAATTTACTAAATTCCTATGGTTCAAACATCAAAAATAATAAAGTTGCTGGGTGCAGTGGCACACTCCTGTAATCCCAGTGACTTGGGAGAACTGAGCAGGAGGATCACAAGTTGGAGAGCAGCCTCAGCAACTTAGTGAGGCCATAAGCAACTTAGCAAGACCCTGTCTCAAAATAAAAAATACAAAGGGATGTGGATGCAACTCATTGGTAAAGCACCCCTAGGTTCAATCCCCAGTACAAAAAAAAGAATGAAGTTTGTAATGAAAATTTACCCTTCTATCCCTATGTCTCATCTATATCTCATTCCCCTTGCTCCATAAAATACTAGTCATTTTAATTTTTTGTTTATTCTTCCAGAGATTTTTTTTTATTCATGTGTAAGCCAGTATTCTTTCTTTTAAAAGCATTTAAACTGGTAAACTATATAACAACAAACAATTTCTGGTGTGAGAGCATTACTATTTTTGTAGGTTTAAGTAATTTTAATTTTGTTTACCTTAGGATGAATTGGCAAGAAAAGATTATGAAAAAAAGAGATCTGATCTTAAGAATCAAAGGACCATGAAAGCTCAGAATATGAGTAAAGATACTAAAACCAACATAAAAGACAAAACTGTGAACAGGCCTATAATTCCAAGACAGCATTCTCAAAAACAAATAGAGGAACATTTTAGAAGTCCACCTATGAGGAGGAGCATGCCTGCTTCAGGTGTACAGAAAGAAAGAAAAGAAGTAAGATCCTAATCTGGTTTTGTGACATAAATGCTGCATTATAATTATTTCCTTTAAGATATATATAAAGAATTTATGAATAATGAATTAAACATGAAGATGTTTTTAAAATACAAAGCACCATACAAGTGTAAACTGTCTTTATACTATCGACATTTAAGGTTTTGAATTCATAAAGTGGAAGGTGTTATACAAAATCTGCTTGTTGTTCCTTCCTTTTGAGATGTCGTACTTACTTTTAAAATATTTTTTAAAAGGTAGGTCTTGCTGTGTTTATCTATACTGACACCAGGCTCCTGAGCTCAAGTTGTCCTTCCTTGGCTTCTGAGTAGCTGGGACTACAGGCCCATGCAACCACACCCAGCTTTTCAGGCCTCATACTTAGAATCTTAGCATTAAAGTCATGGCAGGTTACCTAGAGATCATCTAGCTCCCAAACCAGATGATATCAAAAGTGTGTTTCATCTTTGTGTTTGTGTGGTTTGTTTTTAAATTTACTTTTGGTGCTTGGTGAGTACAAGTCATGGTAATAGATGTTATAGTGGGAATTTTTGTGTGTGTTCTAACTAGGCTTTAATTTTCTTAAAGTCAAATGTAGTTTGTTGGGCAGATCAGCAAAGCATCTAGTTCTTGCCGCTTAGTAAATATTGGATAAATGCTGCCTTTCTGTGGCATTTAGATATGGATGAAAGTGGGGTCAGGGATGTATGAAGACTAGGTTTGTTGTATTTTATTGTACTCGAATATAACAAATATGTAAAATGTATTTAAACATTTATTTTTGGTGCTGAAGATATATTAGTTATGTAAGAATTTTTGTGTTTATTAGGTAGATGAAATGTGTATTTAAATTTTGTGCTTTTTAAACGTACATTTGAAAATTTCATCCAGAGTTTAAGAGCTATTTAAAATACAGGATTTTTCTGACCTGTATTCTTACTATAGGGCTTGAGCTAGCAAAAGGAGGCTCTAGAAAAATGAGGCGTTTGATGTCTACTGTTTTCTGGTGACTTTAATAATTTTATATTCATAGGGGCATTTAAAATCAACCACAGTGATACAAGATGATGATTATATGTTACACATATATGGAAAACCTGTTTATCAGGGTCATCGCAGCACTCTTAAAAAAGGACCATATCTCAGATTTAATTCTCCATCTCCTAAGTCCAAACCGCAGAGACCAAAAGTAATAGAACGAGTTAAAGGTAAGGACCCCTCATTTTTTTTTTATTGGTTGTTCAAAACATTACAAAGCTCATGACATATCATCTTTCATACATTTGATTCAAGTGGGTTATGAACTCCCATTTTTACCCCAAATACAAAATGCAGAATCACATCGGTTATACATCCACATTTTTACATAATGCCATATTAGTGACAGTTGTATTCTGCTACCTTTCCTATCCCCTACTATCCCCCCTCCCCTCCCCTCCCATCTTCCCTCTCTACCCCATCTACTGTTGTTCAATGCAGTCGCCCTCATTTTTTTTAATCTTTTTTTTGTGGTATCAGTTTAATATGGCTTGCTTTTTGTTTCTTATAAATATAGTTCAAATTATATAATGCTTAGGGATGGAAAAATAATTCTTTCTAGAGACTTGGGAAGAAATGGATGAGAACTTAAAAGATGCAGAAGATAGGAGTAAGTGGGAAGAAAGGTAGTAGTAGATGATATTTTCAGATAAGGCATCATAAAATTTTAATTTAATTTTTTTTTAGTTGTAGTTGGACACAGTACCTTTATTTTATTTACTTATTTTTATGTGGTGCTGAGTATCAAACCCAGCGCCTCGAATGTGCTAGGCCACAGCACCAGCCTCAAGGCATCATAAAATTTTTATTTAGGGGATAATGAGTCTTGAACAATCCAAATTATAATCTAGGAAAAGTAGGCATTTCCTTGAAGACCTTGGTCCATCATGTTTTTATGAACGGAAAGATCAGCCACCATATGCTGTTTATTATTGTGTAGTATTTATAGGCCCCATTGAAGTTTTGTTTATTCTCAGAGAACCTTAGGTAGCAAGGGTGAAAATGTTTTTGTCTCTTTTATTCACAAATAAAACCATGCTCATTTATCACTCCACATTTTGACTCACAACAACCATTTCACTGGTACCCTTAAATATAACTTAGTTAAGTATTGACTGTTGACTGTGGTTACATTTTGAAGTTTTTCAGCTTTACTTTAGCAATCAATAAGCTATTTTGACAATATGTGATAATTAGTGAGTACCAACCCATTTCCTTTTCTTTCTAGAAGTTGGAGCTGTGACAACTACTTTAGTTCTCTCTTTTTTTTCTAAAAGTTATCTTTTATGATGTGAAGTTATTTACAAATTATACTGGTATTATTTTAGTAAACATATAGCTTATGTTTAGTAAACATATAGCTTATGTTACCCCAACCCTAATGTTTCCTATTATTTATTGGAGACTTACTATTAAATTATAAAAAATTAAGTAAAATAAAAATATATTATATTTGGAGTTTTGAAAGCCTTCTCAAAAAATAGCTTGAGATTTTAAAATACTTTCATATCAAAAATATGAAATGGGGGGGTACCAGGGATTGAACTCAGGTTCAACCACTGAGCCACCTCCCCAGCCCATTTTTAATTCATTTTGAGACAAGGCCTCACTAAGTTGCTAAGGCTGCCTTTGAACTCATGATCCTCCTGCCTCAGCTTCCCAAGCCACTGGGATTACAAGCATGCACCACTGTGCCCATTCCAAAAGTAACTTTTTCAGTAATCCTTTTAATGTAGAATTGAGTGAGCCTGTGGACACATGGTCATTCTGAGGCTTTGCTGCTAGCTACTCCTCTTCCTGGAGAGCTTTTCCTTCAGACACTCATGGGGCTCCCTCTTAGTCCCTTCCACTTCTGCCTTAGATGTTATCTCCTCAGAGAGGTCTACTGGCCATCCTATCCAAGAGCTGTCTCCTGTCCTTCCTATTCTTTTGCCTCACCTTACTGTTCTTCATAGCATAACATAACTCTTACGTTATTTTTTATTTATTGTTTTCCTTACTATACTGTAAGCTCTGTGAGTACAATTGGTTTATCACCTTCAGATTCTCTGTGTATGGAACAATGCCCAACACTTATTAACATATTAATGCTGAACATATTCATTCAATAGAATGAACGAATATCAAAGATGTAAAAGTATGGTAAAATTTTTCTTTTTGGAATCATAAACAAAGGAAGTTTTAAAAAATCTAGATGTATAAACCCACCCATGTGTTAAAAATAAAAATTTATAATAATGCCAGGAAAGTTTTAGAAAGTAGTTTAGTCTCTTTTTCCTTGATTTTCTTTTCTTTTCTTTTTTTTTTATTTTTTATTTTTTGTTTTGGTACTGGGGATTGAACCCAAGGGTACTTTACCATTGATCCACATTCCCAATCCTTTTTTATTTTTGAGACAGGGTCTTTTTGTGAGGTTGCTGAGGGCCTCACTAAATTGTTGAGGCTGGCCTAAAACTTAAAATCCTTTTGCCAAGTGACTGGTTTACAGGCATGTTCCACCATGCCTGGCTTCCTTGTATTTTTAACTAGACAGGGGTGGCAAACTATGGTTTACAGGTGAGCTGTTTTTATAAATATAAGTTTTATTTGAACATAGCTATGTTCATTCATTTACTTACTACCCATGGCTGCTTTCCTGATATATCAACAGAATTAAATAGTTGTGACTGAGACCACATGGCCAACAAGACTGAATTATTTACTCTCTGGCAATTTAAGATGTTTGCCAATCTTGGGTCTATAGGTTTCTTCTGCTTTGGGGCTCTGTAACTCCTTATTAAATGGAATGAAATATTTCTGTAAAGAAGAGTTACTGGGGGGGATCCAACATGGCGGCGAGAGGGGAGGCAGCGCTTTCAGTACCTCCTCAACAACGGGGTCAGAGAGACGCATGGATACGCTTAGATTCGACCTGCTGAGAAACTCCTAGCAAAATTCCACTAAAGAGAGACCGGCCGGGAATCGGTAGGATTTTTGGAGGTGACAGTTTGCGCTAGACGAGTGAATCTCCGCCACGCAGCGCAGAGGTCCAGACCCGCCAGCCGCTGCCTGCGCGACTGGGCGACTGTCGGCTGCCTGCACGCGGCCCCCGCGTCAGGGCGGATAGCCTCCGAGGCGCAGCAGGAGCGGTGCAGGGACTCTAGGAAGAGGTCTCTCGCCAAGCCTTCATGAAATAGCGAACCGGGAGCTGAAACCAACCAGAGACGGACCAGTCCCACCCCTCCCTTCGGACACTGGGGCCCGCCATAGCAGAGAGGTGACATCACCAGAGTTCCCCCGACAGAATTCCTTCCCAGCGGAATCCATGTTAGCAGGTGTGTGACTCCCACCCCCTCCAGATACAAGCAGCCAGGAAACCTCGGGAATCTCTCCGGGGGCGTGTCTGTAGGGAAGCAGAGGGGATTCCAGATCCCCACCTCCCCTTAACACCAGCGGCTACACCCAAGATCTTAGCCGCCAGTTTCTGGGGGCGTGCCCACCAAAGGAAAAATTAAACTGTTGGTTTAATTTTTAAATTAATTTTTAAATTAATTAATTTTTAATTACACTGTTGGTTCCCTGATCACCCCACCACAGCACTGGGGCTTAGATGAATGACAGAGAGGGTGTTAATCGTTCGGGATATAGGACACGTGGTGGGGCTGCAAGTGTAATCAGATCCTTGGGGAACCGCCTCTGGTGAACAGGACCTGGCTGGCTGGCTGGGACGAGGAACAGGGGGAGGGGCCTGATAAGTGAAAGGGCTCTGGACTAACAGGATTGAGAGACTCCCAGGAGCCACCGTACAGGGATTTCTGTCAGCACATAGAGGGCAGAAGCTCGGCTCAGAGGGCAGAGCTCCGCCTATTGGAAGAGAAGAAAATGGGATTCAGCCATAGAACAGGGGATGCCAGCATGGCAGAGATCTGATGTCATTGGAGAGCGGCCGAGGAGAGAACTTCATCGGTGCCAGCGGCGACGGAAACAGTTGGTCCCCTGGTAGGGAGGGTGAGTCACAGATACCCGAGTCTCTCTCGCTTTGTTGTCGAGCCAGAGGGGAGGAGCGGGGCCGCCGCCCGCGCCCGCAAGGTAGGCAGACCTGCAACAGACCGGCGGATCAGGCCCAGCGGCCTGCCAGCATGGTACACACTTCACCCCAACTGGAGTAGGGGCAGAGCAGAGCCTTTGCCCGCGCCCAGATCAGGCCCAGCGGCCCGCCTGTGTGGTGGTCAAGTGACCCCAATTGGAGTGGGGGCGGAGCGGAACTGACACCCGTGCCCATAAGGTGGGCAGACCGGCGACCAACCTGCAGATCAGGCCCAGCGGTCCCCGGGCGTGGTAGGAGGGGCAGGGCAGAGCCTTCGCCCCCACCTGCAAGGTAGGCAGACCTGCGACAGAACGGCGGATCAGGCCCAGGGGTCCGCGGGCGTGGTAGACACCTCACACCAATTGGAGGAGGAGCAGAGCAGAGCCCCCGCCCGCACCTGCAAGGGAGACTTTTCAACTATACAAGAGCAATATAAATATATAGGGGGGGAAAAATTTCAAAAACACAACAGTTTCACCAAGAAGAAAGAAACGCAAGCAGTATGAAAAGACAAGGAAAGAAAGGACTACAAGCAGTGCAGGTCAACTCAACTTTAGAAGAGGTAACAGCTGCAGCAGATGGAATGTCAGATAAAGAATTCAGGATATATATGCTTCAGATGATCTGGAGTATCAAGGAAGACATTAGACAGCAAAATCAGACAATGAAAGATCACTTCGACAAGGAATTACACAAACAAATCCAGGAAGCAAAGGATCAACTATACAGGGAGATAGAGGTTATAAAAAACAAACAAACAGAAATCCTAGAAATGCAGGAAGCAATAAACCAACTTAAAAACTCAATTGAGAATACTACCAGCAGAGTAGAACACTTAGAAGATAGAACATCAGACAATGAAGACAAAGTATTTCAACTTGAAAAGAACATAGACAGCTCAGCAAGACTGTTAAGAAACCATGAGCAGAACATCCAAGAAATATGGGATAACATTAAGAGACCAAACTTAAGAGTCATTGGGATACAGGAAGGTATAGAACTCCATACCAAAGGAATGAGCAATTTATTCAATGAAATAATATGAGAAAACTTCCCAGACTTGAAGAATGAGACAGAATCCCAAATTCTAGAAGCCTACAGGAC